ATGTCAATGACCCACAATGACAGTTTGGTTTTTCAAATTAGAATTAAAATGAGATCCTCTTTTAAACATGATCTCTCAGTTTAGATAATTTTTAAACTAGGTTCGGATTCTCTCATAATTCTTAGAATTCACTAAGGTTCTTTCTCTCTTCATCGGTTAAGTAAAAACTGCAAACAAAATTTACTAGCATTATCTCAAAATATCTTTTTAAAAAGTTTAATGCATTTGTTGCCTATATTGCTCCTTTTGGAAAACACAAATATGTTGTAATCTCTGTCTTATTCGGTTACCATTCTTAAAACATTAAATTAGTTTTAAAGAGTATCATTTCCATTTATAAAACAAGGAACAGAAATATTTGCCAAATCTATAATGGAAACAAGTAGCAAAATCAACTTAGAATAGGCTTATTCTTCAATCAATCATTACAGAAAATTTTAAAACAATGATAGTTAGACTAAAACCAAACTTAGGTGAATAATTCGCATGAAATGACTTTACATATTTGCTAGTGTATTTGGAAGAATCACAGTAAGCACTTGGGAATGTGGTCAAAAATGATTGGAACATGATACCCATTTCATTTACTTTTTTTTTTTCCTTTTTGTCTTTTTTCGTGACCGGCAACGGATCGCAACCCTCAGTGTTGCGCCCGTACCGGGCCGGGACCGGCAACGGGATCGCAACCCTCGGTGTTGCGTCCGCACCTCGCTCAGCCAGTGAGCGGCCGGTCTGTATGTGGGATCCGAACCCTTGGCGGGAGCGCCGCCGCACTCCCAAGCGGTGCACTGTAGCAGTGCGCCACCGGGCTGGCCCCCATTTCATTTACTTTTAAGTTTTATAAGTGAGGAACTAAAATCTCTGGTTCAATGAAAAGAAGATCTGGAAGTTTGCTTAAACCCAATTTTTAATTAGTAATCCAAAGCGGTGCTTTTAACCTTGATTAAACCAGGGTAGTGTCAGCTGCTAGACTTCATGTTCGCCTGTTAATCAGAGAGAATGGACATGGAAGGAAGAGCGTCAGCAAAGGCAATTGGGTGTGCAGAGGCAAATGTAACAATCCATAGTGATTGGGGCTCTTGAATTTAACTCATATTTTCCCTAGCAAGGAGCAAGTGAATGCTGATATAAAACTAGCTTATATTCCTAAAATTATAAATCTGTCATTATGATTTATAAAACTATTAATTAACTTATATTTCCAAAGCTCAAAACATCAAGGTGGCATCTTATATTATTGTTTTAAAGCAGAAAAAGAAGTGCATAGGAGAGAATTATACAGAAAAATATACTACTCTTGCTTTTATTCTCTGTAAGTGATGATGGAAAAAACACAAGAAGAAAAATACAGTATTATACTATTTTAATATAATAGTGCTATAATTTCTTACTGTTATACAGTATATGTTGCTGTATTTAATTTATGAAGTATACAATATAGTAGAGATATATATATACACATACATATTTTTCTTATGTTAACCTGATATTGTGGGACATTGAGAAAGACAACTCAATTTAACATAAACAAATATATGTTCAGAAACTATACTATGAACTTTGGTGAATAAAGTTACTACTCTTACATTTAAAGATTTTATAATCTAGGAGGAAAGGCAGCCTAAAAAACTTGTGTTACTATTTACAATAATACATGTATTAAATTATTTATCCCTAAATAGTACTTGCAAGTCTCATATTATTCATCCACAAAGTAGAAATAGTGATACTTATAAGATAGTCTAAAAACGGTTAAATATCTGAAAAAGTAAGCTACTATTAAAGCTATTAAAAGACAGTTATTCAATGGTTTCAGAAATGTAAAACTATATAATATAAAATCGTATTTTTTTCCAAAGAAGAAAACAATTATTTATAAAATGGATAGTGTCATCTGCAATTTTCACAATTGACAGCAAATCGTTAGCCATGTCCCAAGAACTAGTCAAGATTATTTCCTATGTTTCACTTTATAAGTTTGAATATAGCAGTGTTTAGGCTATCTAAGTATGAAAAAAATGAAATTTATTCACAAGAAGTTAAGAGAAACTAACTACAGATTTGCTGCTCTGAATAGACAATCATAAAGTTTATTGCAAAACATGATTGTTACCAAGCGTGTAACTTCTGTACATAATTCCCCATGCAATATTCATTAAGGATTGTGCTAAAGTTGATCAAATTGTACACTGAAACAGAATCTTTGAAGTATAATATTAATTATTGCACATAAGTTAAAACATATACACCTCTTGGTGTCAATATCTTTTTATGGAGTAAAATGAGATCATCATAATTTTTGCAAATGCTTCCCACATGTTGAACTTTATAGCATTATTTTTCCAATGTTTCCTATCACACAAGAAAGCTTTTATATTTCAAAGTGGAATGTCAGTAAGTAAAAACATCACTGCTGGCAAGTAAGAGCCTTGAAACATCTCTGAAGAGTCACCTTACTACAATAACTTTGGGGTGTGGTCATTTTGCACTGTAATGTCTTCACCACAACTAATCATTTTGTGTTAGAATAAACTCTTTTCCAGCAACCTGTTTTATTAATAGGTATGTGGAATTGTAATTTGCCTTTTTAAAGATAGTGATGATCTACATGAGAATAATGTAAATCAAGAACAACTACTCAAATAATATGTAGCATTGATGGAAATGACCTCCTTTTCATAGTAAGGGTAATATTTTTACATAGTCAAGTCTAAGTTTGTTCCCTTGCAAGAGTTTGAAAATGTTTAATTGACTTGGAAACTACCAAAAGCCTTATTTAAAAAATACACAATGGAAAATATCTCTCTTTTGCACTTTCTTTACTGTAAATAAAGATATTAGAACAAAAAAAATCAGGAAGAATTAGAGTCAAAGATGATGTGCGATATTTGTCTTACTGCTGTGCTCACACTTAACTGAGGGAGCATAACTAGTGCAAAACATCTCTGATCATGATCTTTGGTAAATGTATCAACTGCTGTCTTCAGCTTCTAGCCAGAAAGACATTACCTAAGAGACAGGCAAATATAATTTTTACTTAGATCTTTGTATGGATCCAACAACAACTTCATTTTAATTGCTAGATTACTTCTGCTTCTCCTCTACTCTCTCCTTCAGCTTCCTGTTTTTTAATTTTGGAAAATATGAAATGTGAAAAGAAGAAAATAACCCCAAATTCCTACCATTAATCGAACATATTATCAAATTAAATTCCCAAATTAAAGATAGGGCATATTTTAAATTTAGGTGTGCAAGATTTGAATATTATTTTAATACAAAAACTTTAAGCCAAAACTACCTTTAAAAATCAGTATTTGTTAGAATGGATTATAGGAAAAAGAGTGAGTAGCAAGTCTGTAACCACATCCCTTTCTCCTGGGAGGTGGCAATATTGACGTTAAGTAAACCTTATAAATATTCTAATAGTATTACCTACTAAGATAACCCAGAAAAGGAATTCTTATCTATGAATGATTTTGCAGGCTTTTTTAGTCTAACTAGATTGCTTAGTGTAGGTATGCACCACTTGTATGAAAACCTGGCATTTATGGATTTCTAGGATGCAGAGTACTGAAGAATGGAAGCTACCATATAGTCTCTCCACCTCAGGTATCTAAGAAGCCATAATCATTGTGGATATTTAGCTGTTATCTTAAAACCGAAATATGTTTCAGTGTAAAAAAGATACTTTCAGAAGTTGCATATGACAGGTGTGTGTGTGTGGGGGGGTCATTCTAGAGAAGATTGCTGTATCTGTGCCTAGTTTTCATTTGAATCCTTTGTCAATCATTAGTAAATGTGGGTGTAGAGTAATATTTGTGAGTTGGTAAGTCTGCTTTGACAATTCAGCCCTTTGTGGTACAAAAAGTTCCCAATTCTTCACTCCCTTTCTGAACAGAACTGTACATCCATACTACCCTTTGGCATATTATTTTGCAATGTCCATCCCTGGAATTTCTAAAGTTTATTATGCACACACTGTCCGTCACCCTCCTCAAATACCACTGCAGATGAAATTTCTACCAAAGCTTCTGCCAATAGACCTAGAGGAGACAAGTTGTAACAGGGTAAGTGTACTAGAAAGTGTACTTGGACACACCAAGGCGTAGCTTAACTCAAAGCATCTGGCCTACATCCAGAAGATTTCTCACCAACTGACCACTTCGAACCAGCTCTAGCCCAGACAACCCAAACATGAAAAAATAACTTAACTCTAAATCAAACCATTTAAACACCTTTAAAAGTATAGGAGATAGAAATTATTCACAGGCACTATAGAGACAGTACCGTACAGGAAATATGAAAGAACAAGCTTCAGTACCAAATAGCAAAGCTTCCCCCTTGTACCTTTTGCATAATGGTTTAACTAGAACAACTCTGACAAAGAGAACTTTAGCCCAAAACCCCAAAACCAGATGAGCTACTCACGGGCAGTCATAAGGACAAACTCATCTATGTGGCAAAATAGTGAGAAGACCTACAAGTAGAGGTGAAAAGCCAACCAAGCCTGGTGATAGCTGGTTATCCAGTACAGAATTTCAGTTCAACTTTAAATTTACCTAAACAACTCACTACTCCAAATGTAAATTTAAATGCTGGTCTGAAGAGGTACAGCTCTTTAGACATGGGACTCAACCCCCTATAGAGAGTAAGCTACAAACCAACTATTGTTGGCCTAAAAGCACCCACTAATTAAGAAAGCATTCAAGCTCAACAACCACAAAGACTTAATTCCTACCACTTACACCAAACTTCTGACACCCAACTGGATTAATCTATACTTATATAGAAGAAATACTGTTAATATGAGTAACAAGAACCCTGTTCTTCCTGCATAAGCCTATATCAGACCGGATGCCCACTGATAATTAACAATACAATAAAAATTGTCCAACCAAAATCCACTTAAACCTTTAATTGTTAACCCAACACAGGCATGCATAAAGGAAAGATTAAAAAAAGCAGAAGGAACTCAGCAACTCTAAACCCTGCCTGTTTACCAAAAACATCACCTCTAGCATTACAAGTATTAGAGGCACTGCCTGCCCAGTGACACAGTTCAACGGCCATGGTATCCTGACTGTGCAAAGGTAGCATAATCATTTGTTCCTTAATTAGGGACTTGTATGAAAGGCCACACAAGGGCATTACTGTCTCCCACTTCCAATCAGTAAAATTAACCTCCCCGTGAAGAGGTGGGGATGTAAAAATAAGATGAGAAACCCTATGGAGCTTTAATTAACTAGCTCAAGCAAAACACCATAAACCTAACCCAGGCATCAGCAACAAAACCCTCTGAGCCAGAAATTTTGGTTGAGGTGGTCTCAGAGTAAAATAATACCTCCAAATGACTGTGGTCTAGACCAACCAGTCAAAGCAACACAATCATCAATTGACCCAAAACAATTTGGTCAACGGAACAAGTTACCCTAGGGATAACAGCACAATTCTAGTTTAGAGTTCCTATGGACAACAGAGTTTACGATCTCGATGTTGGATCAGGACATCCCAATGGTGCAGCCGCTATTAAATGTTTGTCTTTTCAAGGATTAAAGTCCTATGTGATCTTAGTTCAGACTGAAGCAATCCAGGTCGGTTTCCATCTATTACTGCATTTCTCCCAGTACGAAAGGACAAGACAAATAAGACCCACTTCAAAAAGCACCTTCGACCCCAATGAATGATATAATCTCAATTCAGCCCGTCCCCACGCTCCCCGCCCAAGAGCAGCGATCATTAGGATGGCAGAGCCTGGCAATTGCGTGAAACTGGAAGACGTTACGATCAGAGGTTCAACTCCTCTTCCTAATGACATGTACGTCATTAACATGCTTGCACTCATTATTCCCATTATACTTGCAGGGGCATTCCTCACTCTCATAGAACGGAAAATGCTCGGCTACATACAACTTTGCAAAGGACCCAACATTGTTGGCCCCTACGGTCTTCTTCAACCCTTCGCTGACACAGTGAAATTATTCACCAAAGAACCACTCTGACCACTAACATCAGCTCCTTCCCTATATATTATCGCACGCACACTGGCCCTCACTCTGGAACTCACCATGTGAGTGCCATTACCGATACCCCACCCCCTAGCTGACCTAAACATAGGAATATTATTCATCCTAGCCACCTCAAGCCTAGCCCTCTACTCAAGAGTCCATTGATTTAAAATTTGGCCCTCTGACTTGCCATAACCAATGGAATGCTGGTAGCCATGATTTGGCCCCTCTCTTGTACGTGTGGTATAATCATGAGAAGAACATGTCCTTGCTAGCTACTGGTCCCCAAATAAGAGACACATGAAGCAGATCTGAGCCCATTCTACAGCCTGCATCAGAACAGTTCCAGCTTACTCACAGACATGGAGAAGAAAAATCATTTCATTTTAAGCTCCTGCAATTTTGAGGTACTCATTAGGCATAAAAAAGGGAGAAATCTAACGAATACATAAGATTGCAAAGAGATATTTCTAAAATGGCATTTCACTTTACCTGTAACACAATACCTTCAAACTTATATTTAAATTAACTAGTTAAACTGGCTTCTGTAAAATTCTGTAATTTATTTTTGAAAAACAAAAAATGAAAACAAGGAAATTTAAAAAAAGATGGAATGAGTAAACAATATCTGTTGAAAAACCACATACTACAAAATTAACAATGATCTAATCATTGTGCCTCCTCTGATCCTTTGAGCACTTGTGGCCCCATGCAATTACAATTATCATCAAGTTAACATAAATGCCTTTCCACTTCATTATATAATTATGCTTTTCTACAGAGGTTGATGCTAGCATTTAAAATATGTGACTCTGGAAAGAAATACATCTATCTAAATATGTAGATCATTGAAAAGGAAATACCAACCAGCATTTTCTTTTATTCAAACACATTATTTTCTAGGAACGTAGCAGGTAGTCAAAAATCTACTATCTGTACAGGAGGGAGGAAACAGAGAAAGATAAGCAAAAAATTTTATTTCCCCACAATTTGAAGAATTCAATTTTTAGTTTCCCAGTAAAGGTAATGAAGTCAACATAGCTATGACAATCTACACTGAGACAGCATCAAATTGACTAGGCCTAGGGGACAGAGGCTGCTGCTAATCTCATTAACAATGGAGTCTAAAATGCTGTCAAATTACAGACACAGACAGGTTTACAAATAAAGAGCAGCATTTCATGCCATAGGAAAAACTCCATCAAAATATCTAGCTGTGCTTTGACTTAACATAGACTTCCTATTGATGTTAAATTAAACTATAAGCAGACAATGAAATAAACCTTTGAGAAAAGAGTTAATTAAAAAATAGTTTGTGGAGACTTTGAATTCTATGTGAAAAATATTAAAAATGGCAGTGGTCTAGATAATCTGAAAAAGGAGGTATCAACATATAGTATGTAAAAGTATCAGATTTATACATTTAGTGATCTTGTTTGGTCCAGTTATGATAAAGTGATAGTTTAAGAACACTTTCCTTTTTTGTTTTTTTCAAACAAATCACTCCATTTGGAAAATAGAATGAAAAAAGTTTGAGAGCTTTTTGACTAATAGAACTATGTTTCTTTCATTTATTTTTGTATGTGGCATAGAATATATGTTTAATTAAATTTTTTTCTTAGAAGAAAAATGCTAATCAAAATAATATTTGCTATGTCCATAGTACTAAAAAACATATTATTCTTAACATATTTCATTACATTAAAGTATCCAAACGAACTATCATAAAATTGAAAATAATTTGATTCAACAATTAGTCTGGTGGTTCCTAACCAGGGGCAATTTTGACTCCAGGGGACATTTGGCAAATGTTTGGAGACATTTTTTTAATACCAGGACTGGGGGGGATGCTACTGGCAACTAGGGAGTATGCTAGAGATATTGTTAAACATCTTACAATGCACAGGATGGTCCCCCACAACAAAGAAGCATCCAGTCCAAAATGTCAGTCTTGCTGAATTTAAGAAACCCTGCCTTAGATTGAAATGCAACAACTCATTTGCCCAAACAACTTAACTTCCATTTCAGCCACTGGTAAAAGTTAGAGAAAAAAAAAAAAAAAAAAAAAAAAAAAAAAAAGCAAACCACTTTTCCTCTTCTAGTTTGGAATATTAACATGTTTTTAACATGCTTTACTTATTTGCCTTTATTATGTTTCTGCATTTTAGACATGCATTTCAAATGTCATCAAATGGAAATGTGCTCCTTGTATTAACCTGATTGATGTATTTATATTACATGTATTTGCCCCTCAGCAAGCACAAATTACTGAGAGCTCCTGGTGTTTCTAGAGATAGAATGTACTTTTGGTGAATTTTTGCAAGATGACTTCTTTCTACTATGTGATCAAGTGCAATGCAAATGATTACACAGTGTCAGAACAGATTGAATATACTGTCTTTATGCTGCAATGAGTATTGCTAACATTCTGATACCAAAGTGAACTGAGGAGTAGCAATCTCTTTTATAATGCAGTTATTTTAATGTACTGAATTTGCATTAAATTCATTGGGCTAAAAAAAAGCAGTTATTTGGAATGAGCCAAATAAAAGATACATTTAATTAAGATATTTACAAATAATTTTAGGTATAAAAATGTACATGTATAATGGCCTTTAAGAAAACCCAAGTATGCATAATATAGAAATTGAAAGATTTGGAAGACTTTTATATTTCCTGAAGTAAGACAAGAATTCTGCCTTAGACCATGATTAAGCAATAATGGCACACACAGCAGATGGTTTACTGGTAATCTGTTCCAACAGAACTGAAGAATAACAACAAAAAAGCCATGATTTTGTGGGCAAACCTGCTACCTCTTAGTAGTTAAATTATTCCAAGTTCAATATAAGCAAGTGTTGACAAATATAGAATTTTCCCAATTCTAAATGTGAATGAGTAGAAAAATAGGGAATAGTGAATGAGCAGAAAAATTAATTTAAAATATTCTCATAAAAGCGATTGCTGAGCAAAGTACAATAAATGCAGTAACTTTACTCTGAAGTGTAGTTATAAGCCCTAGTAATTTATTCATAACACTGGTCAGTACATACTCGAAAAACAAACAAACAAACAAAAAAAACTGGCTGCTGACCATAAGAATATTTTTATTAATGTATCATGTGTTAACTATGTTTGAGAAGAGATCTATCAAGTTAAACTAGCTTTTGTTGTTAGCTTATTGCTCCAGTTATTCATATTATTAAATTTTAAACTTCATGTAGGGTTTCAAGTAAACTTTATTTGGGAGCACATCATCTGGAAATTCAATGCACCAGTTTCACTGCCGCACACTAACAACCTTCTTTCTTTTAGTCAAAAATACTCTGAAGTATAAAACTGAGGATGAAACATACAAAATTAAAGAGAAAGAAAAAAAAATCAGTGAAGTTTTAATTTTACAACATTTATATGCATCACTGCTCAGTGTAGTTTTATTTCCTAAAAATAGAAGGGAAGGATGAGAGTATAAAACTGAGGATGAAACATACAAAATTAAAGAGAAAGAAAAAAAAATCAGTGAAGTTGTAATTTTACAACATTTATATGCATCACTGCTCAGTGTAGTTTTATTTCCTAAAAATAGAAGGGAAGGATGAGTTGAATAAAACTCAACTTTGAACACGCCTATCTTGACAAAAAGTAAAGTCTTGATGGGATTGCCTAGCAATCCTTCATGAGCTCTCCACAGAGGTGAAATAAAAATTGATATTAAATGCACATAAAAACCATGGCAGATCCTGTTCACTGGATACCATGATGGGTTCCCTACCATTCTTCTCCCTGGTCCATCTCCTTTTGAGGCCAAAAAATACTGGATACTCTATTTCTCAGACTACTTTGAAGCCGGGGGAGTCCGCTGACACAGTTCTAGCCAATGAGACTGGAGGAAGCCTTCTGGAATGTCAGCGACCTAGACAAAAGCAATAGGCATACAAAGAGATATTTTTCTTTATCTTTATTTTTCCCTGACCACTGTCATCTCCTTCAGGCATAGAAACATGGTCACGTGAGTTCTGATGCTGTAGCAGCTGTATTGTGACCATGATAGGAAAAACAAGAAAA